TGTGTGTCAACTTTGACTAAAACTAACAAATCAAATGACACAGAATTTAAAACTAACACATTCTGGTCAAAGGAGTGAAATGAAACTTCAAAAAGTTAAACAAGTCTTGAGAGGATTTAGGTGACTCCTGTGACAGCCAATCAGCAGAGGATATAATGAAGTTGACACACAGATGGCCCCCGGTCCTTGTTACTCTGCACCGGCTGATTGTTACTGACAAACTGTGTCTCGCTGCAGTGCTGTGACGTTCACGGCGAGTCACTGAAATATCAAAGAGATGCAAGCACAGAGAAGGAAAAAACCTCTGTGCACCTGAGGGGGAATAAAATCCTCCACCGAGTACTCCGTGTGGCCTTTTGTGTCAAACATCGTACTGCAGAGCTGATTTTCTACTTCTTTCTGTGTTTGCAGTGAGAAGGTTGAATGCACTTGGAGTTTAATTTGTGCTCATGAGGATTTTAAAAAGGGAATGGTGAAGGTCGGTGTGCTGCTCTCCTGTTTAAAGGAGCATCAGAAAGCCAGCAAGTCTGATGGGTGTGACCTCTGCCCTACACAGAGAAGCTCTTTGAAGAAACGCCGCTGACATTTTTTGCGTGTTTGTATCGAGTTGGGCTGTGACCTGTGTAAAATGCATTTGACTGACATGATTGACCTTTTTCCATGTGTCTCTAACAATCGCTGAGCATCAGACTGACAAGGTCAGGTTCCTCTCATGATGGCGTACGCTCCATGCATCTGCTGGTATTATAATCCTAAATCCATTCTTTGGAGTCTCCGCCCATCACTCATTCTGTTTTCCATCCGTTTCATCGTTGCTTTTCATATGAAAGTCCCAATGGGAGTCAAACTGTCAGTTCCATCGAGCTTGAGTACATTTTTACACCAGAGTAAACAATCGAGGGGCAAAACTGCTGGATTTACTGTTTTTACTGCGAGGATCTCTCATGTTTGCTTCTAAGCATTTCCGTGTCCTGCCTGACAAACAAAAAGCAGCATGAATTCATCTTGTCATTGTCAATCCAGTGTTAGCATCTTACCATTTTTAGCATTAGCAGGTGGTTTAGTAGGTTCAACTATTTGTGAGGACAAAGACAAGTAAGCCCATTTAATTTATGCTGCTCAGATGCGTTTGTGGAAAGAGTTTTATTCTTCACTGCGATGACTCAGTTGGCAGTTTCTGGTCAGATGTGGCTGAATTATCATCTGGTTTTCATTGTATATCCTGCCATTAGGTCTCATTATTACTAGCTATAAACCATTTCTAGTCATCCGTATGCTGACGACAATCAACTGTGCCTCTGCTTTTAACTGACTTAATGCAGTGAATGGTTGGACGGTAAATATTTTTATGCAGTTTAACACAAATAAGACTGAGTCTTTAATTATCATTCTGGAGCTCTTTCTCATCCACTGTTCAAGCTAGCGCACATAACTCTTTAACTGTTGATGCTCATAACAAGTTTCTGACTCGCGCTTACTTTTTCTATTTAAGACATATTCCTAAACTTAGGACTGTTGTCTCAAAAAGTGAACTGGACATTCTTGTTCTTGGCTTCATCTCCTCCAGCATCGACTACTGTAATGGTCTATTTTGTTGTCTGTATAATACATCTATTAATTGCCTCCCAACTGTACAAAATGCTTTCAACATACTCTGCTACAAACAAGTGTCTGAAGAGGATTCCAGTCAGGTCTAGGTATCATTTTAAAATCTTAGTTCTTTCTTTTATGAACTTACGAGACAAAGCCCGCACTTATATCATTGATAACCACTCCTATTCTCCACGCTGGATCCCTGGGTCTTCTCGTGATTCCATGTACCTGTCTGAAAACTAAGCTTAGCTACAAAACCTTTCCCTCAACACTGTGGCATCCTCCTCTGTTCAAACAGACATTTGGGTCAACTCTTGTGGGTTTTTTTTTACTTGCTTTGTTCTTATGTATTCATTTTTCAGATGTATGTACACCTTTTTCAAATGTAAACCCATTAATGAAGGCAACTGTTTCAACTCTGTTTGCCTTCTGGATTCATTCAATACAGTTACAAGTGTTTAATACAGAAAAATGGGACATGCTGTGGAGAGACTCACCACTTCTGACAACTCATTAGTCAAAAAATTACTATTAAGTCCTATTGCCTTTTGGTGCGACTGATGAAGACCATAGAAACTTTGGCTCACAGAATCTGCTTCTAACTAATCAGCATCAGACTGTAAGAAGAAATGGCCTACATGAATATTTGTTTGGTGTGACGTTGCCTTAAAGTGAGAACTGCATGTTGTTTTCTGATCTGCAATCACAAACAAAACTGACTGAGGTTGTGGGAAGATTGCAGTCATTATTAAAATAAACCAGCATGTCTGATTGGCGGACGCTGACCCATCCATCCACTTCAGCATCCTCCCTGAGAGCTTTTATTCTGCTTTGGTCTCCAGAAAGGTTTATTCTTCATCTTTAAATACAGATCAGTCTCCATATTTATATGCTGCTCACTTCCAACAAATAATATGTTTTGGGCAGAACCATCAGACACAGAAAAAAAAGCAAAACCATAATAATGGAAAGCTTTTCATGAACATCCCAGCTGTCACAAAATATTCGTACTCAACTTGTGTGACAAACATTTTTTATGGTGTTCAGGGAGGAGATGGTGGGTTTTCTTAAATTCTAATTAGCCAACGCTGAGTTTTGCAAAAACACTCATTAGTGAGACAATCCATGCAGTAATGACTTTATCCTCCAAAGACTAAAAATCAAGCCAAACAAATGTGTGCAGGCAGGGATACACAACAACTCTGAACATAGGTTGTATTATTGGAGAATTACATCATATAAATAAGCGTACAAGTTATACTGTGTGTGTGTGTGCGTGTGTGCGTGCGTGCGTGCGTGTGTGTGTGTGTGTGCGTGTGTGTGTGTGTGTGTGTGTATGTGAACAGATAGAGGGTTGGACGATTCAATGATTCAGTGACTGAAGACATTTGTCACAGCAAACCTAAAACAAAACATTAATACAATAAAATAAAGTAAATAAAAATAAATGTCCAGATAACTTTGTGAGAACCTGGAAAGAAATTAGAGGTTAAGACAGGTTTAAACCTTCAAAAGTTTACCATACTATAATTTATTTATATAGCACTATCACACTAAAAACAACACATGGTCAACCAAAGCTGTACAGCAGAAATATAAAGAGAACACGAACTACAATAAATAACTAAATAAATAACAATAAAATAACAATGTCAGTTACCCAGTGAGTCAAAAGCCAGTGAATAAAAAATTAGTTTTCAACCTGGATTTAAAAACCACCGCTGACGTAGATGGCCTAACTTGAAGAGGAAGATCATTCCAAAGCTTCGGGACCACAATAGAGAAGTTTCAGCTGTGATTTAGGGAGTGAGAGCAACAGCTGCTCGGCTGCCTGGAGTGAACGAGGGGGGACATAGGACTGTACCACATCGGACAAATATACAGGCGCCATTTAAGGATTTAAAAAACAGTAAAAGGATTTTAAAAGCGATCCTAAATTAAATTGGAAGCAAGTGTAAGGAGATCCGAAGTAATATGCTCAAATGTTCTTTTACCAGTTAAAAACCGTGCCGCAGCATTTTGCACCAGTTGTAGGTGTGACCAAGTCCCCTGGCCAACCCCTATTAAAGGGGAGTTGCAGTGATCCAAGCGTGAGGTTATAAAAGCAAAAGGTTTAAACAAAAACTTGAATAATGCAGGTGACTTACTTGGGAAACTGCCATTCTTGTTTAACTGTCACCTGGTTCCTGATTCTGAGTTTTTCTTTGCAAAGCAATTTCCATGTAAAATGTATAAAAGTTACAAATTTCAGGAAGAATAAATAAAATGCATGCCCGGGATGGACTCCAACACGCCCTTTCTAATACGTTTGCAGCAGTGCTCAGACATATGCCCCCAAAACCATTGAATGTTCTTAAAAGGGACGACCAACAAAGCATCGAGTATGTGTGGCTGTGGCCCTGCATACAGGCGGGAGTAGGCAGGAGTCACTTTAACAAAGAAAGACCTTTAGCCAAAATGAGCTTCTGCGTTAGGGACGTCCCCGGGGGCCAGGAGTGTCGAAAAAGGTCACTGTGCCCCCTCAGCTGAATTCTACTGACACACTATTACAGCTATAAGTAAAGGCTGTAATGGAAACAGTTAAACATTGAAAAGTTACTGGAGTAACAACATATCATAGTAGCTGAGTGTTTCTGCAGCAGTTACTGAGGAGGGCACTGCAGCTGATGGAGCTGTTGGAGCTGATGGGCCATCAAAGGCAGACTTTGGGAAGTTCCCTTCATTCCTAATGGAACCAAAAACAGATCATTAAACCACTGCTGGCTTTAAATCTTTAAAGACCTCACTTGAAAATTGCAAAACATCTGGAAATGTGTGGAGGACACTCTGCACTCAGAGTCTGTGACAAAGACACACACCCCATCTTTGTTTCATACCAACATGTCTGTAATGATCTGAAACAAGAAAGTGAGACAAATATAGAAAAGACTAAGAAGTCATGAAGGGAAAGTCCTTTATAAAGGACCATGTCTGTGTTTTTAAATGCACCTTTAAGGTTTTTGTATTCGTGGCATCTTAGTTTATAATCTGTGTTTATGGACGTTGTGGATGTGTGCAAGTGTAACATAGTGCACATAAGAGACAGCGTGAATGTCCCCTCCTGCTTTTGTTGAGCCATTTGCCCCCCTGTCAAAGTTTGTATCCCCTCCACATGCTCTCATTGTGACCCTGGCCAAACTATAAGAATCAGACAGTTCAACATGCAGACAGATCCTTTTCTTTTCCAAGTCACCTCCACAGCTCATGTTTCCTCTAATGAATCACAGAGAGGTCTGATCATGTGAGATCCAGTGAGTTCCATTTGAAGATGTAGTTTGGAAATCTTTCAGCTCTGTTTACTGAAAACTGTTTTGTGTTCAGTCCCTCCAGCTTGTGATGTCTCATCGCTTTAAATCCTTTTCTTCCAGATGGAGACGAGGAAGCGTCTGTCTAAGATCGTGCTGGTTTTTGTGGGCCTGTTCGCCCTGTGCTGGTTCCCAAACCACGTCCTCTACATGTACCGCTCCTTCCACTACCACCAGATGGATCTGTCGCTGGCCCACCTCGTCATTACTCTTCTAGCCCGGGTCCTCAGCTTCTCCTCGTCCTGCGTCAACCCGTTTGCGCTCTACCTGCTCAGTGAGAGTTTCCGCAGACACTTCAACAGGTCAGAGTTATTGAGGTGCTTTTACCTGAGACGGTTATGTTACCTAACCAGATCCCTGCACTGCCCCAGAGAATAGAGACAGATGACACTGTTCTCAAACATCTCACAAACAATAAGGTGGGCAAGTTCCCCCTTTAATATTTCCAAAGTGTGCACACTGGTGTGCTCCTGCAGAGTGTTATTCATAACTGCACTGCAGCATTTGGATTAGTAAAATGTTCAGCAGCACTTATTTGGATACACACAAAACTCCCAGAAAAGAAAAATAATAAAGAATAATAATAAAAATAAACATATGGAAAAAGCTACATTTGAATACATTTCCCTTGAATTAATTTTTTCAGTGTCTACAAAAGACTAACATCTCACTCTGCTCTCAGCTGCAGGTTCAGCTGCTCCCACTGAAGATGTCCGTCAGTCATTCAGAAATATGTCAGTAATTTTCCCAAACAGCCTGTCAGTGCTCTACATTTATTTAAAATTCACTGGTGCCAGAATTGTGTGTTATTCAGAGTTAAAGTTACAAATATCAGCTTCAAAAATCAAAATCATCAAGCAGAGGCAGATGCTTGATGTCAGCCAGCGAATGCAGGAGCTTCAGAGCTCGTCTCGGCTGTTCTGTGATATAAAACACGCTTAATTACGTGGTCATGTTTATTTTACGTCGACTACTGAAGAAGAAATTAGATTGAACGTATGAATGCTGCTGTTTGTCTTCACTATAGGTAGAAATGTTCACGGCATGCTGATTTACTGGACGCTGCTACAGCTAACTCTATTACTGCTCACATTAACTGCTGTCACCATAAAAAGGTGGAAAACAAGCAGAGGCTGAATGCTCCAGTGAGTCTTTACTACTTTACTGATTGCATCAATAAAATGTGAATGTAGCTGATTTACAGACGGTGGAAGGATACGGATGGAAATGTCTTTGCATGCCGAGGCCGCGCTTCGTCTGCGCTGCACGCCATTGGCAGCGTGTTTGTGTTGTTTTGTGCTCCGAGTGTTTACACCGCATGAAGCTGCAGTCACAGACTAATCAAAACTTTCTAGAGGACGAACATTTATACAAGACTGAGCATTCAGATAAAAACCACACAGCGAGTATTTCATTCTTCAGTCTGAATGGATTCTTATAACTTGCTGAAAAATAATCATAGCCTCGCCATTTTCTAAAACTCCTCCTGAGTACCCAATAAACCTCCTGAAACTCATCATGTTTCTGCCTCCGCACGATGGAAACCCAAATTTAAACTCTTCACCGTAACCATGGCACAGCCTTCCCAAAAAGCAGGAAACCGTGACCCGGGGACGGGCTTTTCTCTCATTCAGCTCAGATTTGCAGCAGGTCGTGACACCTCAGAAGCAGCAGAGACGCCGCAGGAAAAGTAAAATGTGCCTTTGGGATGCAATTATAGCTATTTGCCTGTTTTGAAGAATGTAACAGGTGAACAATTTAATTTGTCCATGTGTGATGATTTACTTCAAGTACAGAAATGTTTCTTCGCCTTTTGCACCCAGAGAGCCAATTAACATGTGTGCCTGTTTCTGAGGATTATGACTTTTGGAAGAAAAATATCTCCAGCACATGCATGCTTTTTAGTTTTTAATAGTTCTTTGGAAAGAGGCATTCATCTGTGGCTGACGTGATGCAGATTTTCCATATAGGCTGTAATCAGTGATTAATTATTGGCTAAAAAAATCAGCATAGAACTAAATTCTTCATCAGCTACTGTTGAATGAGAATCTCTACAAAAGAGAAGTAGAGGAAGTAAAACTGCAGACAACCAAACTGCAGAGCTACGATTTAAAGCAGGAACAGCCGACAGCAGTCCTGTGGTCCTTGGGTTTGATGTATTTAAGGAGATTTGAATTCTTAGTTTCCTGTGTGAGTTCTGTGAAGGTTCTTCTGTTACAGAAAAGTCAGAGTGCATTCCTGTTTTGATTACTCCTCATTATTATCCTAGAGCTTCTAGTTTTTGTGTTTTGCTTTATTTCTACTCGAGTGAAGAGTTTCTGTGTTTTCTGGTTTCTGCCTGGAGTTTATTGAGTTTAATGCCTTCACTGCATTTCTTTTATGTTGGTGGTTATCTTTTGGGTTGTTTCATCTCTGTCTTTAGATTGTTTTCTTTTGCTCCCCCATCAACCCTCTGTGCATACATAGTCCAGTCTTTACTCCCATGCTGAGTTTTTTGTTGTTGTTGTTGTTCTTTTGTACGTCTGACTCTAGATGCAGATCTACATTTGTGCTAAAGTCTGAAAGAAGAACTTAAACACAGTGAATGTTCTCACATGCTGCAGACAGATTAAATTACACTGTTGTATTTTTGACCACCAGTAGTGGTATCGAGCAGGCAGGATCGTGTGCGCACGGTTCCAGATATTTAGGCTGATGGCAGTGACACAACGACGACCAGCAATGAGTCAGGGAAAGGCAGAAGAGAGCTAGCAATCCTCTCCTCCACAGCAGGTTTAAATGTTAAAAATTTGTTGAAACATGGAAAAAGATAGATGTGCAACCATTGCTGTGAGTTCTTTTGCCAAGACAGTTACTGAGTAAAACTCTGTAGTCCCAGGGCTACAATCATCTTCTCTATCACAGAGCTAATAAGACCTTTCAGAGATAATAAAGCAAAAGCACAAAACTCTTTGTAGTGGAACAAAGAAGTGATAAGTTTGAAATGTCAGCTTATGAAAACAGAATTCAGTGACATGAGTCTAATAAATGGAAACCAGACCTGATTTCTTTTTGCCCTTTCAGCTACGAAACTACGATCCTGTAAAACTTTAACACGCTAATCTCACATGCTTTCAGCTTCAGCAGACACACTGCATGTTCCCCACAAACCTCTCCTCATCTGTGAAATGGTAAAAGGGCTGGTGTTTATATTGGGATACAGAGGCTTACTGACCACTCAGAGGTTTACGCCTCAACCCACATTCATGCAAACTCCTAACAATAAAAATATCTGGTAAACAGGAATCCCGCCACTAACATCTGCACTGAGTTTTGCTTTCTTCTTCCTCCTTAGTCAGCTGCGATGTGGTCGAGGTCCTCGCCCTGAGCGCCAAGCCAGCTATCTGCATAGCACCTCCCACATCCGCCTCACCTCCATCAAGAAGAACACGCCCACTGCTGCCCTCGCTCCGGCAGCCAATGGAAACCCCAACAGACAGGAAGTGGCTCTGTGAAGCAGGACGCTAAGAGTCTGACATTTTCAGCTTCACCTCCTCCCGAGTGTGAAATGTTGGACTATCGTAGGAGAGGTTTTCTGTTGCGGAGCAGCGATGGATGGTGGAGGGAAGGACAGCGGACACGAGTCTTGTACAAGTTGAATGGCTGCAACGGTCGCTCCTTTCCCATCAGAGTTATCGTCTACATCCTTACCTTGGCAACCAAACAGAAAGTGCCTCTTAGAAATACAAGACGGACAGTATAAAAACTAAGAACACTTTTTTCCAGGATGATTCTCCAGATTTATTAACAGTAACTGCATAAAAAATAAAGATGGATGGAATCAAATTTGTGAGAAAAGCCTCACAGACTTTAAAGCCGACAGCATGGCTGCAACGTTAGCATATCTGCAGCTATTGCTCGTTTTCTCTGTGCTTTGCTGCCGGGAGGCTCACCGTCAATGGACTCATCTAAAAAGCCATTTTTGTGTGTTGATTTCACTGAGTGGGCTCGTTTGTCTGCTGCACTCAGATAAAGGTTTCAGAACTCTCAGAGGAAAAATGTTCACTCAGTGATGGGGTGTGGCCTGTCTTTATCCGAACTCTTCCTAAAACCACTTTGGAGATGAACGCACTTGAACCTGAATCTGTTTGGTAGCTCTTTGTTTTGTGGCTCTGTTGCTTGCTGTATCCACCAGGTTTTAACAGCTAACAGTCTTAAAACGTTTTTTGTGAAAAGTGCTTCTCTGGTGCCAGCTTTAGTTTTTCTGGATGTCACATTACTGGAAGCAGCCTTAAACTCTTTAACTTGCTGTGTGTGTTGAACTCATAAGGACCTCTGATGAGAACAGGGTCTGGCAGGGCTGCTCTCGTTAGCCCTCTGGTCCTTGAACAATAACACAGGCGGTTTGAGTTGGAGGCCAGCGGGCATTTGTCCTCACCAAGGTCCTGCTTGTGTTTTCATGGAGCAAATCTCAAAGTGCTGCTGGGTGTTAGGAAAGTACCCAGTGTGGCCTATTTCTGCAGGCGGTAGCATCGCCAACCTGAGAAGCTCGAGCACAGAGTGTGATCCATAATCCTCTGCTGGAAAGCTGCGGGTCACTTTCTCTTGCTTCAAATTGAGTCGCTGGCCAAACTGAGGAAACATCTTGGGTCTGATTGAAAATGACTGACAGGCACATAGCTTAAGCTGCAGCTCTTGATTTACTCATGAGAAGGAAATGATCTTGCGATGTGAGATCGCTGATTTACTTTAATGTATATTTGTACAGGAGAAATTCCCCTCACAGCCAACAAACAGCAGCTCTTGCTTTTCATTTTAAAATGAATGCTGCTGTTGCCATAGTTTTGGTGTTAAAAGGGGAACCTGAACCCGTCTGCTCTGTTTTACTCAGATTCCCTGATGTTTCTGTTTTTGAACTGCAGACTTTAATGTTGCTGTTGTTTGGCTGCCAATAAACTGCAGAGTCTTTTGAAAGGCAGCAAACTGTTCCTCCTGCTTTTCATGTCATCCGTCTCATTATCCTTCGAGCTTTAAGAGACTTTTGCTCTCCTGATAGGTTTGAAATGTCTTTTTCTGTGAGTGGTTTTACTTGCCGAGTGTAGTGGCACGATTCCAGGCTTTCATTTATATCGGCCTCCACAGCTCTGAGAGAAGCAGAAGAAAAAACTGATTTTTACTGAACTACCGACCCGACACACTTCAGCCCAATACTGGACTTTATTATTGGCTCAAATGTGATGCATACTTTGCAGTGCAATCTTAGATTGCAGATTTAAAGTGGATTATGATCACAGGTGACCTCCAGAGGTATTACAAATTTCACTGACATCAATATTTGGAGCTTTGGCTCACGAGAGTATTTGACAATGGAACCGGAGATGTAAGTGAAAAAAGGGAAAAGCAGATTGATTCCAATTTAAGAAGCTGTTAAAGCCACGTAGAAACAAGAGGGCTTTAAACGTGGATTCAGGGTGTTCTGGAACATTAATAAGAGCTAAATTATAGGAAGTGCTTTGCTTCCAAACATATATTATTTGGTGAATTAATTGTTAGCCTGCTTGTAGATAAATGCAAAGCATTGCCCTGCTGTGCACTTCATGAAGACTCCTCGGGTTATGAAGTAAGAGCGACTAGTTTGAACTCCCTTTTCCTTCCATAATTACTAACTAATTGCATCACAAATTTTTATGGACCTGTGAAATACAGAATTACACAGGCTTATGCTCTTGAGGACAGAGCTGTGACACTCATGCTCATTTTTGATCTCCTCAATGAATCCTGTTACCGACTGTTAACAATCAGGAGCAGCTCCTCACCCATCCATGGAACAAGATTACCATCATCACCCGACAATATCTTGCTCACCTGTAACTGAAGTCACCGCAGAATCAGATTTTGATAATAAGCCTTTCCTGGTGAATGCAAAACCTAACAGAGCTTTGTGCTTCTGCCTTAGCGTCAACAGCTGATGGAGTATCTGTGCCATATTTTCAAAGAGATGCTGTGATGTCCTGTTGACCGTGTTTTGGTGTCAGTTTTCTTCTCTTTTAAACTGAGTGTGTTTTCTTTGATGTTGTGCATGCTTCACCTTCCTGTGTTGGAAAGTCCTGTTCGAATGTCAGTCACAGAATAAATGCTTCTGCACAGGCACACGCTCACACACCAATCTGCAGCATCATTGCCATATTTTAGTAGAAATAAATGTTTTTTAAAGGCTTATTTAAAGTGGAGAGAGGACAGGTTACAGGGCAGCCTGGCTGCTGGTCGTCACCTCAGGCTTGTAGCTTTTAAATTAGACAATCAAATGTAAGAAGCTGAAATTACAGCGTGCAGGCAGCTGTCAACGGGCTATAAGGTTCACATCTGTTGAACCTTATAGTTTGACCATGGCTCAGTTTCACAGAATAACCTTCATCAGAACTTTTATGGATTCAATCAGGCCAGTGATAAACCAGGCATGGCTCGAAACCCTTAACTAGTGAAAATATAGTAGTCTGTGTATGTGTGTGTGTTTTACGTCACCATTAAAGGGCAACAGTGCAGATGGATACACACTTCAGTTGCATCTGCTTGAGTCTTTTGTCGGTTTAGTGGAATGAGCAGCATCTCTGAGCCGCTATCATGTTCATCCTGTCACTCTGTACGCTGTCATTGCCGCCAGGGGTAAAAATGACCGTTTTGTCTTTTAAGGAGGCTGGTGTGATGACAGTCATGCCAAAACATCTGGGCATGGAAGAAAGAGGAACATTTTAGTTTTTAGTGTAGCTCAAAACGTTTTAAAGAATTTCAATCTACAAAGAATTAGAAGAACGCTCGCAGAAGGCTACATACAGCAAGGCTTCTGTCTGTTTCTTAAAGTTTAAAAAAAGTGACTCATATCCATGTTAAAAATTAAGTTCCACTTTTTCTCTGAGCTTTGGAAAGCTTGTTTTTTCCCCCTGAAATCTAGCTGCAGATTGTCAGATCTGAGAACTAAAGGTTGATGATTGGTGTTCTTGCCTGAAAAGGGACTCAGATAGTCAAACCGCTTGTTGCAGCTCTAATTCCACGTCTCGGCTCATTAAACCAAATATTAATTGTCCAATCAGTTTATGTTCCAGTGCCAAGATCTCTCCACAATATGTGTTTTTTCTCAGATATAAAGAACCACTGAAAGGAATCGAGCAGTTAATCTGGGTTCATGTATCACGCCTGCTTTGTTGAATTACTGACTGTGAGGAAAGCTGTCAGCCTGTTCTGTGCCTGCAAACTGCAGAGCACCTCAAACTTGACCTGAAAGGAGCATTTGAAGGAGTGTTTCCCAGCTAGCTGCCCACCCTGGGTTTCTGTTCAGAAACGTAATCTGTTGGACGAGCTTGTATATTTCTAACTTTATAAAAGGATCAGCTACACTCTGTCAGAGTTTCCACAAACTGAAACCAGAATTTGAGACTGATTGAATGTTATTAAAATGGACCAGGCCTTAACAACTATTTAATCGGATTATTTAAGCATTATTTAAGCACTGTGTGATAACAGCAGCTCCCCCACCACATCCAATCATAGCAATCTATCAAACTGTGTCCATGACAAAAGTAATGAGAAAGAGCTGTTCCGGTCCTGAAATCTGAAATCCTTCCTTCTCTGTTTCACCTTTTTGACTTTGCTCTGTTTGTCTCTGCAAGACTTCACTTTCTCTAATCATTCTTCTGTTTATAGGACGTCTGTCTGTCTCTTTAAAACTATCCAGTTTCTGACAGGAGACTACAGAAAAGGAAAGCAGTGGCTGTTTCTAGGTTCTCAGGTCATGATTTCTAGTGTCATCTTGAGACTTTTTGTTTATCTCTACCAAATACCCAAAGCTCTTTGAAAAAAACAAAGAAAAAAAGTATGCTATCTGCTCAGACAGTAACTATGAATACCCGCACCAACCGACACCACCTGTGTGTGTGGATGCGTCTAAACATCAACTGTGTGGGGTTGCAGGGAAAGTAGGACCCAAATGCAGGACTCTCTGTAATGAACACAGTGCATTTATTTACAGTGAGGTAAATATTAACGCAATGATAGATCCCCGTGTGTCCCCGACTTCTATGCCGTGTCTTCTCCCAGTGTCCGTGCTCCGTGTTTCCCTCTCGTTGGGAAATCACAGACGCAGCCATTAGTACATTCACAACGGCAGCAAACTCACACTTACTGACTGTCTTGCTTAGAAACTAACGGGAATTCTTGCAACGATCCGGCATCGACGCAAGGTCAGCCACTCCCACAGACGAGGCTGATCCGCTGCATGTCCCGGTGGGACACACTCTCTAGACCTGTTTCCCAGGAAAACCAGGACATCGCCACACACACACACGTACACACACACACATGCATTCTCCTTCAGTATTTTCTGGTATGGAGCAGAATTCATGGTTCCATCAGTCACATCAAGTCATCCTGAAGCATCAGAGAAGCCATCACACTACCACCACAGTGTCTGACTCCTGCTGTGATGTTCTCTGTATGAAACGCTGTTAGTTTGATGTAGATGTAACGGGACTCAAACCTTTCAGAAATTTCAGCTTTTGTCTCGTCAGTCTACAGAATAAAAATCCCAGAAGTCTCGGGGATCATCCAGATGTTTGGTGGCAAATGTCTTTGTGATCTTTTTGGTCAGCAGTGGTTTTTCTCCCACGGAGGCCATTTTTGCCCCGTCTCTTTCTTACTGTTGAATCTGACCTTAATTGAGTCTGCAGGTCTTTAGATGTTGTTCTGGGTCTTCTGTGACCTCCTGGATGAGTTGTCCATGCGTTCTTGGAGTAATTTTGGTAGGCTGGTCTAAGGAGCCTGGAAAGATACCTCTTTAAGTCTTGGACCTCTTTAAGTTTCTTGAGGACAAGATAAGATAAGAGATAAGATAAGATAGAACTTTATTAATCCCTCGGGTGGGTTCCTCTGGGAAATTCGACTTCCAAAAAGCACAGCAACGACAGAAGTTACAGTTACAGAATTGTTATATATATATATATATGTATATACACACACACACACACACACACACACACACACAC